CTCTCCTGAATCCTTCTAGAATCATGTCTCCTTGCATCTCATTGTCCTGGATCGAGTAAATCCCCATCCCGACTCCACTCCCACCACGCCAAATGGTTAGCCATGGCCCGCCTCTGGATCTCACTAACGCACCCTGTATAACGAAGATTTTCCGATGCTACCTTACCATGACCACTGTCGCCTCTTCCTACTACACCAGCACATGGACTCCGCGTGGCCATGCTCGCACCTCGCTGCCCAACAGAATGCCCATATCGTAGCAGTGGCAGACTGCAACCCTCACGACTGCCATCTGTGCTGCCTTCCATTTGCTCCAGCCTCGAAGCCTTACCCCCATGGGGTTGTTGGTTCGCTGACACCGCGCTGTGTGTGGCAGCAGGATCATGTTTGTGCATCTCAACGCTTCCTTGCGCAGGATCTCGAACATACGTCGACGTTCGCATCATCACAACCCGTCGTGCCAGCTCGGCGCTAATCGAGGTGTTGCATGGATGGGGAATTCGCGCTGACAAACTCCAATTGAAGACGAGTCGAGGACTGGAGCCTTGTGATTCCGAAGTTGATGCGAACGTGGCGTCAGCCTCCACAGCGAAGTCCCGGACAAAAGAGATCAAAATTCTTGATAAGGACCACCCTAGACCGCCTTAGACACAGGATACATTCTATTATGCGCTTGTCCACCTTTGCGACGGCCGGCTTGTCATGTACACAGAGATTGTGCTCGTCACAAACGCGGGATGGCGAATGCACGAGGAGGCCCCCCTCTCGTTTGCAGCCATTGTACAGAGTAGTTATTCCTACATTGACACCAAAGTGTGCTCGTTACCTGGCTACGGAAGCCCTACGGAAGGAAGGCTGTCACAGCGAGGGCTTGCATGTGCCTGACAACAAACGCCTTCAAGGATGGTCAAGTGAGAACAGATCGCCCAACGATAAATGGCGCCGTTCCTGTCATTGAAGAGACCACAGAGAACCTTCCCTGCCCTAGATGAGCAGCTCGAACCAGCTCGAGTCAGATATGCTCGGATCGAACGTTGAACTCACCGTGGGATTGTAATTTGACAGCGTCGTCTGAACGTTATTTGATCGTTTCGAGACCTCTATACCATCAATAAATGATTCGGATGGTCAAGGCCATTATTGCTTGGTGGTGGTTTCAATACCGCAACAGCTACACTACGAATCTTCAGAGATAGGTCACGATCCGTACCCAGAATATGCGACGGTTTACTGCCAAATACTCTACCATAGTAGTGCGTAGTGGCTCATATGCTCGCCCGAATAAATCAATTTACGCGTCTCGTGCGCGACGCGTCTTCCCCCAATCGCGCTCTCTGCCCCAAATCCCACCCCTTCAATTCCATTCTGCGCGAACCTCCCTCAACACTCGCTCACAGACAAGTCGTCCACGATGGCGCTTAGCACTACTCAGCTTCGTGATGAAGCTGTCCGTGACAGAATCAGACTTGCAACCGAATTCCTCGACCCCACCGACGATGAAGCCCGATCCTACCGTGCCGACATTGTGTTGATGCTGAACCGTGGTCTGAGACGACTTGTGGTCAGCATTGACGATATTCGTGCTCATTCGCGAGAACTCGCGGATGGTATCCTGCACAAACCGTTTGACTATTCCCTTGCCTTTGATGCGGCGCTGAAAAATGTCATTGGAACCATACCCAACCGTGCGCCGTTTGAGCAAGATGAAGACCGACTATATTACGTCGCATATTCGGGCTCATTTGGAGAGAACACCTGCAACCCCAGAACGTTGGGAAGTTCATTACTTAACAGAATGGTCTGTTTGGAAGGCATCGTCACAAAGTGCAGCCTGGTCAGACCAAAGGTTGTCAAGAGTGTGCATTGGAATGAGAAAAAGGGCACTTTCATGTTTAGGGAATACAGAGACCAGACCATGAGTGCTAATGCTCCGGCAAGTCTGAGCGTTTATCCACAGGAAGATGGAGAGGGAAACCCCGTACGTTGAGTGCCTGAACCACCCAATTCTCCTGCGATGCTAACCCTAAGCCAGTTGGTCACAGAATACGGCTATTGCACTTATCGTGATCACCAGACAATCAGCATCCAAGAAATGCCCGAGCGAGCACCGGCAGGGCAACTTCCCCGAAGTGTCGATGTCCTTCTGGACGATGACATGGTAGACCGAGTCAAGCCTGGGGACCGTATCCAGCTGGTTGGTATCTTCAGGTCGCTGGGTAACAGAAATGCTGGATCAGGATCGTCCATCTTCAGGACCCTCATCTTGGCCAACAACATCGTCCTGTTATCTTCAAAAGCCGGCGGAGGTATTGCCCAAGCCACGATCACGGATCAGGACGTGAGAAACATCAACAAAATGGCCAGGAAACACAATGTGTTCGACTTACTCTCGCAGAGTCTGGCGCCCAGTATCTATGGGCATGACTACATCAAGAAAGCCATATTGCTCATGCTCTTGGGCGGAATGGAGAAGAACTTACCAAATGGCACCCACTTGAGAGGTGACATCAACATCCTCATGGTCGGTGACCCTTCAACGGCCAAATCTCAACTTTTGCGCTTCGTGCTCAACACGGCGCCATTGGCCATTGCGACCACCGGCCGTGGCTCCTCCGGAGTCGGTCTTACGGCTGCCGTCACCTCTGATAAGGAGACTGGTGAGAGGAGACTTGAAGCTGGTGCTATGGTTTTGGGAGACCGTGGCGTAGTCTGTATTGATGAGTTCGACAAAATGAGCGATGTGGACCGTGTGGCCATCCACGAAGTCATGGAACAGCAGACCGTCACCATTGCCAAAGCCGGTATCCATACCTCCTTGAACGCCAGATGCAGCGTCATTGCAGCTGCGAATCCCATCTTTGGTCAATACGACAGCAACAAGGATCCTCACAAAAACATTGCCCTGCCCGATTCCCTTTTGTCTCGCTTCGACCTGCTTTTTATCGTGACCGACGACATCGACGACAAACGAGATCGGGAGATCTCCGAGCACGTTCTTCGAATGCACCAGTATCGTCAGCCAGGGACTGAAGAAGGAGCTCCCATTCGAGAACAACCCAACCAAATGCTTGGAGTTGGCATGGAAGAGGACCAGAACGCCAATCAAACGTCGCTGGTCTACGAGAAATTCAACATCGTCCTTCACTCCGGTTTCATGGTCAATGAAAGGAAAAGAGGACGCAAACAAGTGCAGCCCGTCAGCATGGCTTTCATCAAAAAGTATATTCAATATGCAAAGAGCAGATGCAAGCCAGTCTTGACAGAAGATGCAAGTGACTATGTCGTCAACGCCTATGCCAACCTTCGAAACGATGAATTACAAGCAAATAAGCGCAGAACAAGCCCTATGACCGCACGAACATTGGAGACGCTCATCCGCTTATCGACCGCCCATGCAAAGGCACGGCTGTCGAGCAGGGTTGAGGAGAGTGATGCTGTTGCGGCGGAAGAAATTCTTAAATTTGCTCTCTTCCGAGAAATTGCGGTCAAAGACAGCGGGCGAAACAAGAGACGCAAGACCCGTGATGCCAATGATGATTCTTCACAGGTGGACGGCGAGTCTGACAGTGACGATAATGATAGCGATGACGATACCCCATATCGTGGGACTAGGTCAAATGGCGCCCGGGGGACAAAGCCACAGACCAGAAGTCAGCGCTCAACCCGCACCAATACCACCACGAATGGCACAGCCAATGGAAGAGCCAATGGTAACGTGAATGCCGGAAGCGACGATTCGGCGGAATCAGATGTGCCGGCTGGCTCTTCCCGAGGCCAACGACAGACAGGCACCGAATCGCAAATGTCCCGCATGAGCATTGCCAGCTCCATACCCAGTTCCCAGCTCCCATCCACCCAAGCCGACTCACAATCCCAAGGTCCCAAGACAACACCGTCTGTGAGTCAACAACAATCGTCTCCACTGGATTCGGGACCAACAATTTCGCAGTCACGTCTTGCGTCATTCCGTGCCGCCTTGGGACCCTTGACCCAGACCTCGCTGTTCCAGAATGATATGGCTAGAGTCGCGGATGTTAGTGCAGCCATCAATCATCGCGTGTCTGAGGCGAGGGGGGCTGAATTCTCCCAGGAGGAGATTACTGCTGCGCTGAGGTCAATGAATGAGGCCAACCAAATTATGTTCTTGGAGGATACTGGGGAGGTTTACACTCTGTAGAGGAACAGTGCTTGGATTTTATGCATTCCAACGGATGGTCAGATCTGCGAGGTGCAGGCGCTTAGTGATATGTTAATGTTTGATCCCGATGAGCAATGAAACGTTTTTTGGTCTTCCTCGGATTCTCTCGCCCTTCTACAATAAAAGCTACAATAAAAGAGTGGAAATGACAGACAGAGATTGATGCCGGAGATATTCCAATCGATGAAGATGGCGGCAACCCTCATCCTAATGAGACTATTAAGCTCCATCGTCGACAGCGGTCCATAGGCCTCGCACGTACATCGTATCAAAAGGGAAGCCTGACGTCGATGGCGGTCAACCGAGGCGACAACAAACACAATAACGATAACTGAGGAGCACAGGGGCCGAAAACAGACCACAGAATAGTCGACGTAAAGACGTCTGGATGAGGAAGGCGGTCGACTCATGCCAATTGAGACTGAAGGTGGAGGAATTGGAGAGCCTCGACAAGAAGGCCAATTGCTTCATTGTTGTGTTGTAGTCAATACGTCGCAAGGCTATCAAGCCTCGCTAGGTGCTGGATTCAAAGCCATGGCCCCTCAAGCGCAATGGGCGCTCTCAGCAGAACCTGCGTCTCCGAAGCGCCTCCGTCTGTTTGCGGCGATGCGTCGAAGACCCTCCTCCAACTCCATTCAACCCTCAAACAAAAGAAATCGTAATCCGAATGAGAACTCCGCCAACGCCGCTTCACTACTTGTCCCTTCCATGCTCGGTCTTCCTTTCATGCGGCATTCTTCAACACTGCAAGCCATTGGCTCACCTTCCAGCCCTCCAGCGGGCCATCCTAGTGCTCAGTCATCTACTCTGTCGTTGTCACGTTCGCCACCTCCAGCTGCATCAGCTGCAGCTGCGCCCTCCGCGCATTTTCGAGGTCTTGAAACTGTTTGATGAGCCTATACCAGGCGTTCCACTCAGCCCTGGCGTGATATTCGGAGAGGCTTTCATCATCACTCCGCGGGTGGCCCGTCTTCCACACCTCCCGCAACACCAGGTTCGGCTTGCGAGAATGGCGAAGGTCTCTCCCAGTATCACGCTTATACGCGTCCATTTGAACATGGTACCATTCATCCTGGGCTTTTTTCCATGTTGAACGGTACTCCTGTGTCGCCTCGGGCCTGAGTGCGAAAATTTGCTGCTCGATTTCATTCACTTTGTGATCTGCCATGTAAGCGATTTTTTTCAATTGATCGAGCGTTAGATCGGCATGGGTTTTCCGCGGGCGTGGCGGGGTGTTTGTTTCGGGTTCAGATTCATCCTCGTTCGAGTTCTCTTCGTCTTCACTCTGGTCTTCTTCGTCCTCACTCGGGTCCTCTTCGTCCTCACTGGGATTCTCGGCGGCCACACTTGGCACCCTCGGTCTTGGTATCGGGACCCTCTTTCTTCCCGTTTCCTCCTCGAACATCTTGTCCACCTCCCGTCCCATGGCAGCCTGGATATAATTCCAGGGGCGTTGGGCGCCTTGGTTACGGCGGAAGTCGTGAGGCAAATTTTTCCACATGCGTTCCGCAGTCCATCCTTCCGCCATGTAAACCCGAAGCATGGTGCCCCAGGCGTGCCTCGGGTACGAATGGACCACTTGGGTCAGCGAAAGCCCTGCTGGGAGGAATTGGTCTGGCATGGTGTACGCCCCCACATTCGGTCGATCGATCCTGCCTCTCTCGATAATCAGGGGCACTCTGGTGATTGGCTCGGTCTCGTTGTCTTTCAACACCAACATGTTCCTTCCTGAGTTGAGCCCTGTGCCCAACCTAACAGGTCGCGGAGAAAATATATGGTTTGCCGGAACTGTCTGGTGCTCGCGGGTTCGTCCGACCTGGGGGCGGACCCGTGGTGGACGCGTACCGGGCGGAGCTGGCGGGACTGGCTGGCTCATCTTGCTCAATGGAAGGGCCGCCCCGTGTTAACTGATGCAGGGTGTGCGTGATCTTTCTCGGAGAGTCGGTACAGGTCACTGATGTCTTTGGGACTTGGTGGTCGGAAATGATGCAGGTTTCGTGGTACAGTCCAGCTAATTTAAAATCTCAAAAGACAGGGCGCTGATTTCGACTAGTCTGGAGAGAAAGAAGAAGATCAAAACGGAGTCTCGAAGGCTAATAGACAGACCTGGGACAGTTCGTGGAGATAAAAGAGAGAAGATGAAGACGGAAAAGTTCCTTTGTTTGCTTTCCTGTCCTGGTGATTCGAATGCGTGAATACTCTGGCACGCTGCCGCACTTTTTGCGCGCGTCCGCTTTGTTCCGACGCGGTGAGGCAATATGAGTTCTGTTATTGGAGGTCTCGACAGTTCTGGGCACGCTGAGCAGGCTTGCGGGATCATGCTACAGCAAAAGATTCGAGTCGCAAAGTCGGCTTAAATGGCAGGGACATACAAACCGAACTTCCTCACGACTAGTAATGTCACGAAGCATAACCAAACGGGACGAGGCTGCCACCCCCGAGTCATGTGGCTTATATATCAACTCCACGGCTTGTCTCCGTCTTCGAAACGCATGGCTAATTGATTAGCAGCACAGAACCGAAATACCAGCGATTGATTACATCCGTCCCAAACCGGTGTTTCCTCCTCTATGCGCTCAACAGGTGCGACAAACGAGCTCATCTGACGATTTTCCGTATAACCTCGTTCGAAGCGGTACATAATCACCACACACCAGTGATTATCTGCGAACAAAGGGAGTTCGGCCTACTGACAGATGGTGAACAGCCGAGAAGCAACGAGGCTCTGTTTGTCAGGGGGCGATACTCCAGACAAAACAGTGGCATCGGCCAGAGGACCGGAAACGCATGCTTTGGCTCTGCCGCCATCCGTGGAGCTATGTTGTTATGCCAATACACCACCAAGTTTGAAGATCCTGAAACAGGGTGCAAGACATGTCTAAATACGGAACATTTCTTACTCAATTAAAGATGTATAGGATACCCTGCGACATGATAGGATACAGGTCACAGGCGGAATGGATGCGACTTTGGCTGTCCTTTTAACAACGAAAAGATCTACGGCCTTTTTCCTTTCTTTGGTCGAAGATATTGACATGTTCTCTTCTGCAGGAAAGAAACAATCCCTCTAGGAGAGCAAGTTCTATTTATCAGTCCAGTTCGGGATTTTCAACACCTCGACACTCGCATGAATGAATACCATCGAATAGAAGCATATCCATTTATTTTTGACCATGCTCCCTTCGGTGGTCGACATGAGCAAAGACATGGCGCCACAGTCATCATCCTCAGAAGATGTTGGAACTTTGAAGGCGTTGGGTACCCCATTGACCTGCCTGTGTATGTTCCAATGTTCTGCTTTTTGGCATGAAACCTAAACAGTCCAGGTACCTCTCAAAAAGGGCCATCCCTTTACTCCAGATCGATTTGGCGAAGTACCCTTATTCATCTGTGCATCTCTACGGCGCAATCCAACGAGCATCCATCACCACTACCATCTGAAGGCAAGACTGGACGAGGCTAGCCAAAGAAACAACTAGACAGATGTGGCTGTCCACCATACTTCACCAAGTTATCACTCCTATTCGCTTTCACATCTTGAGGATGCGCACGATGCTTCATTTACATAATTCGGCATCCAGGCTTCACACCGAACTCTGAGACAAAGACCGTTAGCCGGTCCCACACATCTATCCAGACCCCAGCAGATGCGATCACAGATCAGACATCGTGAAATCCAACTCTTCTGTGTGCCGGGCCCCGCCCTCCGTATGTATCAGCTCCCCGAACCATTTATTCTTCGCTGTCGACGAGTTCCGGCAGCTCCCATGATGTCGTATTCGGGTTTTCATTCACATTTGAGACACCTTCATCCGCAAACATCTCCTCATTCAAGAACTTCATCCATTCGGAGTCGTCTACTTCCACGTTGGTTGAGTATTCAGCTACCATCGGGTCAATTCCGGCGTCAAAAAAGCCACCTTGAAATAGTCGAGCTCTCAAAGTGTCGAGATCGAATGCTTCAAGCATCTCTTCTATCGGTGGTTGAAGTGTGAGAGCGACGTCTTCTCCACGGATGACTTGACTCGGGTCTGGCCACGGAAGAACTCGATCACCGTACCCTTCCATCGGTGGTTCAGGTGTGAAAAGGGCGTCGTCTCCCTGGATGGCTCCAGTCGCGTCAGGTTCAGCGAGATCTATGTCTGGCCATAAAAACTCGAAGTCGTCGTACCGATAGGCCTCTGCCATAGGTGGTTCAGGTGCGAAGTCGGCAATGTCTCCATGGATGGCTTGAGCCGCATCAGGTTCATCAAGAGTCAGCTCTTGCCACACAATACCTGGTTCACCTTGTTGATGAGTTTCTTCGGGAGGATGTTTCGCAATCATTTCCACATCCGCATGTCCGGACTCGGTGGCTGAATCGGCAAACCTCAATCGCTTCGTGGATTTCGCTGTGGCTGCGGACTCTGGTCCAGTTCGTTTCAAGCTGCTTCGAAAAGGAGTGATCGGAGCGTTGATATGGGGCAGTTCCCGGCTGGGCAATGCGACGTCCTCTCCATGGGGATTTGCAGGATCGAAGAACGGATTTGCTGGCTCAGCGGTCTGGCCGTCGGGGTCTGCGGCCCACGACAATACCTGATCCACCACTCCGGGCATAGGCTCTCCAGCCGGCAAGGTCGACAAGAAGTCATTCAACCTAGCCAACCTCGCTGCCTGGCACGCGTGGATATAAGAAATTGCCGATTGTCGAACCAACGGTAGTTGTTGAGCTGGGTCCTCAGACGGGAAAGAATCATATGTATTTATGACAGCCGCCGTGACCATGTTGCAGATCGCAGTCGCAAAGGCCGGGCAATGTCGAATTTGTTGAAAGCTGAAGAACGTCTCGGTCGTAACGTCGCATGGCCAGTTTGCCATTTGCAACACAAGTCTATTGCGCTGGCGACTATCTTGGCTCGCACCATACAGCTCGTCGAGGGCCATGATCTGTTCCGCACGTGCACGTTGATGGCCCCAGTACGTTGCCATGCTGGCCTTGTACTCGTCGAATTCTTCGACCGAAGCCCAAAGCGGGTATTCCTTGTCGTTGTGCACAAAGGTCATCATTGCGGGCTCTGGCCGCAGGGTTTTGCGGGTCTTGATTTGACGATTAGGGTACGTTCGAACCGTTGGAGCTATGGGATTGTGGAACTTGCCCTGCAACTTGGATGCGCCGTACTTCTCAGAACCGTCCATCATGCATGTCCGGATCTTGGGAGCGGTGCACAATGCCGTGACTTCCTCTGGCGAAAGAGCGGACAGCCGGGCGTCGAGTCGCTTCATCAAGAAGTTGGCGCGGTTCGCGAAGGACTTGCTCGTCGTGATGCCAAAGGCCTTGAATTCGTTGATGGCAATATCGGTCAGGCAAGAGTACATGTCGGTGGCTGACCAGTGCCATTGGATGAAGGCGTCGAGGTAGGAGCCGCGCAGGTGATTGGGGTATCTGATGCAGACCTCCTCCAGAGACGCATGGGGAGGGATTGGTTCGTCGAACGAAGGGAACGATGGCAGTTCAGCATAGACCCTAGGTTCTGTGTCTGTTCGCTTCTTTCGAATTCCTGGTCTCGATCGCGACGATCCTGCTGAATCTGATGTCAGACCAGTATTTATATATGGTGCTAATTCATATGGGGACTCACAAGCCATCCACGGGCCCTGCCACGGATCCATGGTCTGAAGCGATGCCGTCGGCGAGGGATGTCGAGCCTTTGAGGGCACGAGGAGACTTCGGTACTTGGTCGCGATGGTTGAAAGGAAAGTACCTGGTCACTCGCCGACGACCGTTGATGATGTTTGGACGACTGTATCTGTGAAGCAAGATTGAGCCTGTTGATGATGAGCGAGGGAAACTTGTTGTGAGTGCTCAAAGTCAGCGTCGGCAGGCCACAACGAGCCTTTTTAAAGCGACGAGGTTTCCCATCGTGGACCACAGCGAGGCTGTTGCTCGAGGTGCCTTCAAGTCCAGGGTCGACAATGTCTTGCAGGCTCATTCACTCGCGACAAAGCACATTGCCAGTCCATCCTACAAAAAACACAAAGGGCAGTTGAAGCACTGCCGGGAGAGACACTGCTTGGAGCCTCACGGGTTTGATGTTCAGCAGAGAACGCGCTGTGAAGCTCATCGCGCGAGGGGGCTCCTTCGAAGAAAGACAGTCGAAAGCCTCATATCGAGAAAGGCCTTTCAACTTACACTGCACTGCATTACGCATGTTGACATAAAGGGGCATGATTTCGAGGATACATCAAGGCTAGTTTTGTGCCTGAGATCCCAGAGAGCTCACAGCCTTGTCTCTCGAGGACGCAAAGGGTCGAGAGCTTTGTTTCTGTGGCCCTTGGACACCCAACAAAGAAGGCGAACAAAGCCGATGAAACATAATGCCACTGTCAATGCCAATGCCTTGGATCGTCCGGAAATACTCGAACAATTACTGCGCAGCAGCCACTTAGGGTTCGATCTGTGATGAGTGAATGTACAGCGTGGCGACCTTTTGAGATGCGTGTGGTTTTGACGCGAAATCGCTGCTTCTTTGACCTTCTTGTCCCTGTTATCTGTTCGTCGTGTGGCGCCCTGATGTCCATGCCTGCCATTGTACGCATATGGCTACACCGACAAGGAGAATTGACTCGGTCTGTTATTTTGTTGCCACACCCTTTTGCAAGGCCGCTCAAGTACGAAGTGAGTAGAGTGGCCACGCAACAAGCTCAGGGGCTCGCAGCCTTGCCAAGATTCAAGGCAAAGCCTAGGGACCGACAAATTATCGTACCCACCCTCACCACACAACAGGAACGACTTCAACATCGAGCATTGAAAATGTAGAATCTGGCAGTAAAGACGCCCGACAGACAGATACAGGACGCAGACCACACTCAGCCCATTACTTTTGATACCTTGTTTCT